ACAAAGGTAGATTTGAGAAATATTCAGCAAACAGAGGAAACAGAATTGGTGGTTTATTAAAGTAGTAAAGGGGCCAGGGATTTAGCTCAGTGGTCCCAGCGCCTGCCTCACAAGCGCAAGGTCTGGAGTTTGATTTCCAGTACCAAAAAAAAAAAATAGATGGGACTTACAAGTAGTAAAGGACACTGAGGCAGGGGTTATCTTCAGAATCCTGGCTTAGATGACACATTCCATTTGCTTCCTAAGTAGTCCATGTATTAAACCAAAAGATTTACAACTTATTTATTCAATTCTATTATCCATGCAGGATAAGCTAAAAGAAATTCCAGTTTTCACCCTAATTACTGCACCACAATTTACCCACGCATAAAAAGCAAAGTTAAATGTACTGACAACTGGCTCTGAGTAACTACTGAGTCCCATAATCATAATAGGAAATACAAAACCAAAAATTAGCCTAGAGAACATGAAAAGTTTCTTTTCTCATAGACATACCGAATTTGTGACACTCTGGAAGGTAGGTGAGAACTGAGGAAGGTGACACTTTGCAGAAAATACTGGCTAAGTGACATAGACCAGATTTGGGAAGGGCAAACCTGACAAGCAGATAGAATGAAGTTCCATCAGAGAATGAAAACTTGGTGCTCTGATATCACAAAAACTGCCACAAAAATGAAAGGAGCTGAAGTAAAGACAAATGAAAGAGTAATCCGAAAAGGTTAAGCCTAAAATTTCCCATTCGATCAGCAATTAGAAAACTGCTGGTCAGTGTGAAGAGAGAACCCACAATGTGGGAAAAAAATCTTCACCTGCTCTTCCTCAGACAAAGGTCTACTATCTCGAATCTATAAAGAACTTAAAAAGATCAGACCTTCCAAATCTAAAGACCCAATCCAAAAATGGGCATCTGAAATGAACAGACATTTCTCAGATAAAGAAGTAGAAATAGCAAATAAATACATGAAAAAATGTTCAACATCACTGGTCATTCGAGAAGTGCAAATGAAAACAACACTGAGATTCCACTTCACTCCAGAAAGAATGGCTGCTATCATGAAATCCACCAATAACAAATGCTGGCAGGGCTGTGGGGAAAGAGGAACCCTGCTCCACTGCTGGTGGGAGTGTAGACTGGTGCAACCACTGTGGAAATCAGTATGGAGATACCTCAAAGAACTGGGACTGGAAGTCCCATTTGACCCTGCTATTCCACTGCTGGGGATCTTCCCCAAAGAATTAAAAGAGTCACAACACAGTGATATATGTGTGCCCATATTCATAGCAGCACAGTTTTGTAATAGCTAAAACTTGGAAACAGCCCGAATGCCCATCAACTGGAGACTGGATAAAGAAAATGTGGGTTTTTTTATAAAATGGAGTACTACTCAGCCATAAAAAAATGAGAAATTAGAGACATTTATAGCTAAGTGGATGCACATTGAGGCGATACTCTTAAGTGAAATAAATAGGACACACATGAATAAATACTGAATAGTTTCTCTGGTGTGAGAAACTGAAAGTGTAAATAAGGACTAAATGTATAATAGGTAATGTGAAATAGGAAGAAAAGGGGCAAAGGGGAAGGAAGTGGGAGGGCTAGGGGAAAGGATAGAAGGGATTGGGATTAATATGAGAAAATGGAAAAATAGGAACAAAATCTTTGTAAATAGGGAGGACTGGAGGGGTTGGAGGGCTGGGCAGGGGTGAAAAATAAGAACCAAGGAAGACTATGTAAAGGTGCAAATTTCCAATGATGAATGTCATTATATTGTATACCTAAAATGTACCAATGATTAGAATGAATAATCGATAATGTAAAATAGGAAGAAAAGGTCCAAAGGGGTAGTGGTAGTGGGAGGCACAGGGGAAAGGAAAGAAGGGAAAGGAAAAAGATGAGAAATGGAAAAAATGGAAATAAAGTCTTTGTACATAGGGAAGGGTGGAGGGGGTGAAGGGAGGGCTAGGAATGGGGAAAAAATAAGAACCAAGACGCATTATGTAAAGGTACAATTCCCAATGAGAAATGTAATTGTGTTTTATACCCACAATGTACCAATAAAAGAATTTAATACAAAAAAAAAAAAAAAAGAAAACTGCTGGTAACCTCTGTCTAAGCAGTTGAAACAGAGAAAAGGAAGAAAGCAAGCTCTCAGGTGATTGAGGAATAAGTCAGGGCTAAAACTAAGCCAGCAGCCACAATGAACCACTTTCTGGGATCTTATTGGAGAGTGAGAAAGGAGGCAGAGGAATGGCTGCAGAGAGGAGCTCAGAGATCAGGGCAGGGCATGGAGAGAGCCTCTCACTCTGCTCAAGAAGAAGAGCGGGTTGAGAAAGAAACCTAAGTAGATAAGACCAAGCCCTACCCATGGCTGAAGAGATGGGCTGGGCTGGCCTTGAAGAGAGATGACAAACATCCATGCTGTGGCCATGGTGGAGGCAAATAAGGTGGAATGAACGCAAAGTTCATGAAAATGGAAGAGTTCTAGGTCAGAAATCGAACAGAGATCATAAAAGACCATCACCAATGGTGGGACTTGGGACAAAAAGGAACAATGTGAACCAGACAATGCAGTTATAAGTAAATCCAGAAGAAAAGGGAGGGTAGGTACGCTTCGTATTTTCCACTAAAGAAAACCTGAACTCCTCACCCTTCTCTTCAGGCCTGTTTGCCTGTGAAACATTCTCCTCCTGCTACGTCCTGTCAGACGCCACCAGGCTACCAGTCACTATTCCCAAAAACGGCTTCCCACATTCCCTCAGCCTAGAATTTTCCTCCCATTCCCATCACACCTTTAATGGACTGAATGGTGTCCCTCTCCCCCCAAATTCAAATCCAGCCAGAACCTCAGAAGAGGACCATAATAGGAAATAAAGTCTTTATGGATGCTATTAAGTTAAAGATTTTTAAATGAGATCACCCTGGATTTAGGGTGGGCCTTGTCTCCACTGAGTGTTGTCCTCATAAGAGGAGAGGACACAGACAGAAGGGAAGGCTGTGTGAACACACGACCACCGGAGCTATACTGGCTCATGCCAAGGGACACAGGAGTCTTGAGGCTAAAAGGCAAGGAGGCTTCTCTCCCAGGGCCTCACACACGCTAGGCAAGACCTCTGCCACTCCACTTGCCATATCCCAATCCCCTACTGACATCTTGATTCCCCCCTTCTGCTTCCAGAAGGGTAAAAGAATAGGTATTTATTTTAATCCACCAAGGTCATGCTAATTTGATGCTACAACCCTAGGCAACTAATACAACACCATCACCCCTCATAAAATACTATTCAACTCAACTTTTCTAGGCTTTCTTACAACTTAAAAATTTTTGGAAGTAGGAATTCAAATAAAAAATTGGTCCTCCACGACAATACTCCTAATGAGAGCAGGTTCCATTCTCCTAATAATATCCTCAATCTTTAAAGGCATGCCCCATACCTTTTGGGTCTTTGTATCAGTTGCTACTGTTTGATGAATGACTGTCTGATGACAATCATTGGGAGTCCTTAGTCTGTCCTCAAAGGAAAAATTTCCTCGAAGGCAAAGGTCAGGTCATCATTGTACATATTCATGGCATCTAGCACTAAGCGTCATAGCATCATAGCACTAAGCATCAAAATATTTGTTAATAACTGCTAATTAGATTAACATCTTCATTGACTAGATATGATACACTAAACTAAAAATATTTCTTTTGTTTAAAAAAATACCAAAAGTAAGTGCTGGTGCTTCTGAGTCTCCCATCTTGCCTCCTTCATACAAGGCTCCCTCCTAGAGAGAGGGGTGGCCACCCTGAACCTCGTGATGAGAACCACAATTGCTACGGTTATGTTCATCTACCCTTCCAAGGAGACCATCCCTCTGTTAGTTGCAATTTTGGTCCTGATATCCCCATAAAATACATTAGCATCTTTGCTGATTACTCAAGATGGAAAACTACAGACAGACCAATGGTCTTTCATTTCATCAGTGAAAACTAAAACTAGCCAGTTCAGCAAACATCTCCTATGTAAGATCGAATAATACTGGGGCCATCCTCCCCCTCGGGACAGCCAGTGGCCTGCCAGCCAGCACTGCGGCTCCATCTCCCCACATACTACCACATGGTGCCCTCTGATATAAAATACCATTTCTTTTTTTCATGTCACGATTTGCTTTTTTTGTGAGTAGCAACACTACAACACTGATTTGTGTGGTCTTTCATTACAGAATGTCTCCTAATTCTATAGGACTTCAGCTTCATTGTAGGCTAAATTGGCTCTTCTAGGTCAGAGTTCATCATAAACTTGTATATTCCATAACTCAAGTGGACTTAACGACTAATAGAATAATTCTACATCCACACAGCTGGCTTTTAACTTCAAAAGATTAAAGAAAATCCACCTGAAAACCTTTTAATTAAATTCTAAAATAGCTTCATAGGTAGAACAGGCGTAATTCACCACCAGCGCTGCCACATGGTTTCATTTTGTTAAGACTTTTTGAAGAGGAAACTTTAAAACAGTGACATTTTCTATTCCGTAACAAATAGCACACTGTGTCTTGTTTTCCAACGGGGAAGCCATTTCACTTTTAATTTCATATAAACTGGGGTTTAAATAGGAGCGCACTACATTCCAACGCTTTCCACTAAGTCATCTCTTGATTGACTTGAAATATTTCTATTGTAGCAACAACATAGCACTTCCTAAGGGAAATTTTAAGACAAGAAAAGGCAAATTCAAATACCCACAACTGTCCTGCCACGGACTAGGCCCAAAGAAGCGGAAAGTGAGATTTGGGGAAATCTAGAAACCTGGTGACGCTGGGCCTCGGTGATCAGAAATCAGCAAAATGAGTTAGGGTCAGAACCCCAGGGGGGCCATGGGTGCACCTCCAAAGACGGACTGAGACTCCTCCGACCTGGAGGGGCGGGCAGAGAGGCGACCCTCCGGCGTCCGCCCCCCACCCCCAGGAGCGCGCACCTTCCTGGCGGGCGCGGGAGGCGGAGGCGGAGCCCACTCACCCGCGGGGCGCTCGGGCCGAATCGGGCGCCAGCGCAGGGCCCTCTCGCCCAGCTCCACGTCGCAGCCGCCGCTCCCGATCTCGAAGATGCCCCGGAGCAGAACCCGCTCGGCCGGGGGCGCCGCTTCCTCCCGGCCGCCCTCCAGGGCGCCCACCCGGCTCCCACGTCTCCCCCGGGGCATGGCGGGGCCCGGCCCGGGGTCGGGGAGGCCTTGGAGGCAGAGGTGCGGGCCTCGCCGACCCGGTTCCAGCCGCGTCGCGTCCGGCGCTGCCCGGCAACGCGCCCCGCCGAGACGGGGGCGGGGCCGCCCGGGTGCGTCTGCTCCCGCCCCTCCGGAGTCCGCTCGCGCGGGTCCAGGGTCCCCAGCCGGCCCTCCGTCGCTGTGCGTCCGCCTCCTTTGCGGGCGAGTTCCCACGTGGGAGGCCCGGAGAGCTGCTCGTCACTCCGCCGTAGTGCAGGGGGTGCTCGCCTTCCGCACCTCTGGTTTCGTCCAGATTGGCAGGGGCTGCTTTTGGTATTAAATCAAAGTGGCTTTGTGCCGGATGGGGGTCCTACCTTTCCCGGGACAGCTCCTCTACGTACGCTGTCTCGCCTTTGCCCGGATCCAGCTTTCCTGGAGAGATTACGAGCAGGGGCCCTGGTTCCCCAAATGGCCACTGCTGTCAACCAAAGTCGCCAGGAGAAAAAGAGCCCTGCCCGAGAGGAGACATTCCTGAAATTAGCTGCTTGCTTGGAAAGAAGGAGGCTAGAGACCGGTGGTTCTCAGTTGTGGCTGCATATTAGGGTTACCTGAGGAGCTTTTCAAAATCCAGTTTGGCCACACTCAAAGACAATTAGCTCGGGATATCTGGGGGTGGGACTCAGACTTCAGGATATGTTTAAGCTTCGCAGGTAATCCTGGTGTTTAGCTCAGACTGAGACTAGCAGGCTCTGAGTAATTCAACACGGGGAGCTGACAGTTCTTGAAGGCACAGACTGGGAGGTTAAGGCGTGGGACTTTTTTTTTTCTTTTTTAACAAGGTCATTATAATTCTCCTGAGAAAAAAACAAGTTAAAGAGCGAGTTAAATTCATAGCTGTGAAGCTAGGCCCTGCGTGCTAGCGCCTAAACAATTCCATCAAATACGCCGGCATTTCTCACCCTCTCCGTAGGGTCAGACAGAAGAGCCGAGCAGCAGGAGTTTCTCTTGGCGGTCTGTTCAGACGGTTTGTAAGCCCAGCCAAATCCTTTTCGAGCATAATACACCTGTGTGCAGTTGAGCTAGGTTTCTATACTGTTTCCTGCTCTTACAGCAAACACCCAGGCTTCCAGTGGAAGCTGCCGTTTGATCTGATGGCAGTGAGCTGCTTCTTGGAGCAGAAATACAGCTGCTGCTAAGCCTCGTGCAGACTTCAGGTGGCTCACTCAGCAGTCATTGGTGGCCCAGGCATGGTGGAGCAGGATGAATGGCACTTCTGGAGTCAGCATCTTGTATTCACAGCTGTCGGGCAATCCACAGGATTAGAGCTCACTGCCATTTTAAAAGCTCACTGAGAGCCAGGGAAAACAGGCCAAGACTATGGCTATGTTTTGAGGACCTTTGCAAAGGAGAACATTGCTATTTTTCAAGCATCAGTCCGGCCATGAGTCAAAACCATTGGTTTTGAAGTGTCTTGGAGATGGAAGTAGTAAGCAGTAGGAAGCAAGAAGCAGGAAGTAGCAAGGACTTTCGCTTTGATGACCTGTCCTCATCACAACTCTAAAGATTGCCGTGCCCCAGAGCATGGCCTTCAGGATTTACACACACACATCAGGTCCATGTTTTATAAGTGCAGTATGATTGAAAAGTAGCAAAAATGGTTTTACAATTTTAAATTAATTGCAGTAAATGAAACTGCCATCTTTCCTCCTTGTATTTATCCCATGGTTCTTGCCGCTTTCTGGAGCAGTTCTGAAGTCCTTCATGACTATCTTTATAGCTCCACTGTTATGAGTACTTCAGTGTCCTGAATTGATTTAAAACAGCTACCTTTCATGGTCATTTGGAGTTTGAGGAAGAATCAGAAGTTACCTGGTGCCAGACCTGGTGAGTAAGGTAGAAGAGGACACATGGTAATGAGTTTATGCCGGCCTTTCCTCCGATGCCCTTGGCAGCAGCATTCCCTGTATTTCTTTGCCACACTTTGTAAAGTAACTCATGAAAGAGGACTTTCAGAACTGTTTCAGAAAGTCACAAGAATGATGGGACAACTGATCAGAGTGAGAGGGAGTATTTTGAGGGTCGTTAATGGCAGTGTGTCTTTTGCTGTAATAAAATTTGTATTTAACCATTCACTGTATATTTTAATCACACTTCATAATATCCAGGGCTCCACAAGGGATGTCATCAGCCCTGGTCACTCTCAGATGTTATGCTCAATTCCGTCCCTACCTGACACCTCCACCCAGCTGTCTGATAAGCACCTGAAACACGGCTAGAACCAAAGTCATGATTTTCCATCAAAAACATGTTCCTCCCAAAATGTTTCAAATCAAATGATCAAAATCTTTGGTATCATCCTTGTCTCCTTTGTCTCAAATCTCGCATCTAACCCAAGGGCAAATTCTGTGCACTCTAGCTCTAAAATGCTCCAAGCTGCTCTCAGCCTTCTCTCATTCTGTCTGGGCCTCAGCACCTCTCAGTGAACAGCTTCAGTATCTTTGCTTTCTCCTTGGCTATCCTGACACTTCCAGTCCACAACTGTTTTCCGTCTGGCAGTTACATCGCTCCTTTTTGGTAATGAGAGTATATAACTCCCTGACCATAACCTTCCAGTAACATCCCATCCCACTTGGAATACACTCAAAATGCTTAGCAAGGCACAAGGTTCTGCATAATCTGATCTCTGATTACCTCTCCTTTGCTAACCCTTTTTCCCTTTGCTAACCCTTTTTCCCTTTTCTCACTCATACAAGTCTTCAGATACACTGAGCATGGTTCCTTCTTAGTGCATTGGCCCTTACAGTTCCCTCTGCCAGAATCCCCACCCTCACAGTCAAACAGATCTTCACTTTGTTCATTTTTCTGCTTAAGCGTCACTTCAAGAGGCTATTCGTTACTGAGCACCCTCCATAATCTGCCATCCTGTAACACAGTGTGTATTTCCTACTACTCTTATAATAAAATTACCACAACTCCACAGCTTAAAAGAAGACATGTATTATCTTACATTGCTGAAGGTCAAGTTCAAAACCAGTTTCCCCAGACTAAAATAAAGGTGTCAGCAAACACACATTCCTCCTGGAGACTCTAGGGAAGAATTCATCTCATGCTTCTCCCATCTTCTAGAGGTTGCCTGTATTTCCTGGCTTGTAGCCCTTTCCTCGCTCTTCCAAACCACCAGTTTAGCATCTTCTCTCAGCGTCCATCCTAATATCGTCTTGTCTTTGGGATTTTTGTCTTTTTCTTGTCTTTGGGTTTTCTCTCTCTCTCTTATAAGGAAATTGGAGATCACACTGAATCTGCCCAAATAAGTCTTAACTTGGTTTCACTTGCAAAGTCTCACCCCTGGGGGTTAGAACAAACATCACAGGCTGTTCTAATCTCTTTGCCCTGCTTTATGTTTCTTTACAAGTATTACCTCTCATATATTTACTTCTTTATTATTGTCTAGCTTCCCCATTGAATGAGTTAATGCACTTAGTACAGTAGAAGAATATAAGAACCTAAATAAATATTAAGTAGTGCTGTTGTTCCTATAAAAAAAACCCAGTTATTGTTAGAGTATGTGCTCGAGAGCAGAAAATTTATTTTGTTCATCATTGAATTCCCAATATCTATTTCAGATCCTTAGTGCTCAATAAATATCTGAAAGAATGAATGAATTTCTTCAATATTTATCTGCAACAACAAGTCCAATATATTATTAGCCAACTTTTCATTGCTGGGCCAATGCCTAAAACTTAAAGAAGAGGTTTATTTTGGCTCACAATTTACAGTTTTCAGTTCATGGTTGGTTGGTTCTGAGGCAGAAATGGCACAGCAGAGAGAAAAAGGAGCCGGGACAAGATTAGACTTTTCCAGATCACACCCCCAGTGACCTGCTTCTTCTGACCAGGCCACATCTCCTAACAGCATTTTCAGCTTCGAACTCATGCCCCATGGTCCAATCATTTCCCAAAAGCCCCATCTCTAAATACATAAGGCTTTGGGAGGATATTTTAGACATATACCTTAATATATTTCACTCCTGGCCTCCATCTCATTGCACAAAATGCATGTTGTTAGCCCCTATCAAAGTGAAAAGCAAAGTTAAATACTTCCGAGAAGCAATGGCACAAGTTAAGCACTCTCATTCTAAAACCGAAGAATAGCAAAATAGAAGGAATTGGGTTAAAGCAAGACTGAAAACTAGCAGGGCAAATACTGAACCCTGCAACTCCACGTCCAGCACCATGGTAGGTGGTGAGGAGCTGTGAACTCCAAAGGGCTTGGTTGCCCTGTCTCTGTGGCTTTGCTGGTTGCAGCACACATGGCCTCTCCTTTGGGCTCGCTCTACTCATTGCCTGCGACTTTCCTCAGCAGACATTCTACTTTCCTAGCAACTCCAGATTCCTGGGGTGTCCATTATACCCATGACTTCACTCTCAGCTTCATGCTTTGTACTTTCAAGGGCACACTGACTGGTCTCCCAGGCCTTCTTTTAAAATATGGGTGGAAGCCTCTATGACTCCATATCTCTTGCATTCTGCTTGTCTGTAAAACCAGCACCACCTGAATGATGCCAAGGTTCGAAGCCAGCTGGAGCAGTAGCTGACTTCTTAGACCATGGTTGCCATGGCCTCTGAGTGACTGGATGACTGAGCATAGGGAAATGAATCCTAGGGAACCAATACCATAGGTTGCTGTTTTGCTCAGGGGGTGATGGACTGTCTTCTCAAATGACATATGTGACATATGGCATCTTGCTGAGTCCTGAGATGCTTTCAAGCCATATTTCCTATTGTCCTGATGCAAAGTACTTGGCTTCTTTTTATTGTTAATCATTTCATCAACACTCCAGGCTCCAACTTTATAGGTGCTTCCTTTCTGTTGAAACTTCTAACTTTTTACATCGACTTTTTTCCCTCCTTAATCTCACTGTAGATCTGGATCAAAGCAGCCAGCAGTACCCATGCCACAGCCTAAACGTTGGGCTACTTTGAAATTTTTCTCTACCAGATTATTTAGTCAGCTGTACTTAATCTTAGCCTCCTGAAAAGTCTCAGAAGATAGGCAAAACATAGACAAACTTTTTGCCAGAGTGTAATATTCATGGCCTGT